TTAATTAGAATGAGAGCTGCTCTGGGTCTGCTCTACACAGGATAATACAGGACAGATAAATAGTTTTGTCCTGTATTATCTTGTTTAGAGCAGACCCAGAGCTGCCCCAGTGCAGCTAAAACGAACAAGCCCATTGAGAACCGGCGGGATTTAATTAGAAAGAGAGCACAAAAACAGATTTGCTATCTCTTTTTAACTCGACTGGGAAGGGATTAAGATCTATAGAGAGAAGGTTACCTCATGCGTAAAGAGGGACGAGCGGCAAGAGGGGCAAATGCAGAGAGGGTCGAGCGGCAAAAGGGGCAAATGCAGAGAGGGGCGAGCGGCAAGAGGGGCAATGATGATCTCATCGGCGAACAGAAGCTATCTCAGACAGCTACTGTTTGTCGATGAGATCATCATGCTCTCCCCTTCCTTCATCGCCCCTCGCCCTCAAGCTGTTTCTAGCTCCCCCCTTCCTTCATCGCTCCTCGCCATCAAGCTGCTTCTAGCTCCCCCCCTTACTTCATCGTCCCTCGCCTTCAACCGGTTTTACTGAGGTAACCTTCTCTCTATAGATCTTGGGAAGGGATAGCATAGTGGGAAAAAAAGAGATGTAGTAGGTCTTATTCCTTATTTTTTTTTATTATTATTTCTATGTATTTTTACATATAAGAGAGAAAAAATTCTGTTCGAAGCTTTCTTTCTCTTTTTAAATTCAGTGCACTGTAAGGCCATTACAAATGTTTCAAATTTAAATGTATGGTTTAAGAGTACGGTTATTAATAAAAAATTTACAGCTCATGAATTACACAAAAATGATTACTTGAATACTTTAGTCAAAATGTTGTGGACGATAATTGCTTTTTAACGAGATATTGATCTAAACAGACATATTTGTCCTAATAAATGTAAGATCTAAGTATTATTAACAAACTATTTTCAGCGTATAAATTAAACAAAAACGATTGTTTGAAAATTTTAATCAATGTTTGAAAAAATATCTTTGTTGGAAAAAAAATTAAATTTAACTAATAAAAGTTTAATATATTTTATCATTTTATTAAAACTAAATAAAATAAAACTAAAAAAAAAATTTTTTTTAAATTAATAAATTAGCTGAAGTATCTGTAATTAATAATTATTTATAGTAGAGCTTTCGTTTTTTACACCTTCGATTATCTAGTTTCTTATTGCACGCATTATTTTTATCTGCTTTTTTCCATTATTCAACAACAACGTGTTAATGTTCAAAATTTAGATATAATTTTTATTATCTATTTACTTAATTATATTCAATTTTTTGTAAACATTTTTGAAGTAATTTGACGCTAGCGTGAAAAAAAAGAAGTTGGATTTCAGCGTCACGCAATGCTAGTAGTTTAAATAGTTGATAGTTATTGTGCAGATTGGTTATATCTTAGATTTAATAATGGCGTTTACAGATATAAATAAATATTAATTATTTCAGTAATTAATTTAATATCTATTCTCTCTCTCTCTCTCTTTGAAATTATGAAACGAATTCAAAGATTTAAAAATCCAGACAGCAGGATCTCCAGAAAGGGTTCAAAAAGAATTCTCTTTTTTGAATTCTTATAATCTGCCAAAATGACTACAAAAATTGTCTAAAAGTGCTTTTTCTGAGTTCTTTAACAGTAAATAAAAAAGAGCTCACTATAAACTTATATTTCTAACACAAAATAGTTCTTCATAATCAGTTCATTTTTAAATCATATAATATGATGCGCGAAAACAAAAAATACACATCACCCAACCTGATCCGGCCATTGTTCTTGCTGGTCATCTATATATGTTCGTCGATTATTCTTTTTATTATTTATATTTACCCACAAAGTACTTTCCAAGTCTCGCATTTCGCAGTGCACAAAAAGACACGCAGTGTGAAATTGTTTCTGGTATAACGATCTCTGACGCAATTTTCCACAGGTAATTTTTTGAGGTACGTTATATTTATTATATACATAAAGAGCTTTTTATGATGAAATCAAAATGAACTCAGAAGTCGACGCATCCAAGTACATTATGAGCACATTCTAACCACCTTCTGATCTGAATTTATCAACTCAGAAAAATTTTTGGAACTCTTTAGAAGTATTATATGAGGTCATCGTGCTGTCTGGAAGGTTTCATGATGGAGATTTTAGTCTGGCCGATGACAAACGCTTTGGTAAGCCTATTGAGATTAATAAAATATCCATTTATCTATTTTATCCAAATATCCATTTTAATTGAAAATAATTCACGTTATAGAACACGATAGATTGCTGAGATATTGAAAGTCTGAAAACCATTTACACCAACTTGGAATAGTTTTCAAATACGATATTTGGGTTTCGCATAATTTGAGCGAAAGAAATTTAGTCGATCAAATTTCGGTTTGTGATTCACTATTGAAATGCTATAATAACGAACCATTTTTAAATCGAATTGTTAGGTGATGAGAAATGGATTGTTTATAATAATGTGAAACGAAAAAAACATAAGGGTAAACGAGGATCAGATCCATTAATCACTCCCAAGGCTGGTTTACATCCCAAGAAGGTCATGCTATTCATATGGTGGGATTGAAAGGGAATACTTTATTATGAGCTTCTGCCATCTGATTAAATAAGCATTCTGAAAAATATGGTTTCCAATTGAACCAACTAAAGGCAAATATCGAGAAAAAACATCCAGAACTAACCAACAGAAATGGAATAATCTTCCAAGCAACGCGAAACCACACGTATCTTTGCAAACTTGACAAAAATTGAGAGAACTAAATTGGGAGGTTTAATTTCATCCACCATATTCACCTGATTTTGCATCCTTGGATTGCTATTTGTTTCGATCTTTGCACCTATCAATTTTTTACCCAAAAAGATGCGAAGTTCTAGAAGGATGGAATTATGAAGTTGCCCGAGAGATGGCAAAAGATTGTGAATTAAAATAGTATAACTATTGTTTTTTACTGAAAATTCCGACATTACTTGTTGGCCAACCCAATATATTGTATATTGAATAAAGCACGAAAATATTTACAAGTAAAGAATATTTACAAGTAAAGAATATTTGAATATCTGAATATATTTACTTGTAAATGATTTGTCATTGCACTTTAATAATAAATGAACGAAACGAAAGAATAACAAATAACAATAATAATGAAGCAGCATAAAAGACGGAGGAACTGGAAATACAAAAATTCAAAAGGTCTACTATCAAGTTCTGCAAAAAGTTCTGTCGTTTTTTTAAAGCATCTTGTTTATTTCGCTGTAATTCCTACATGATGAAGGTGATTCTTGGCGGTTTCTTGTTTTCGATATATTGAGTCTAGACGCCAGTTCTGAACAGGTCTGGTGTGGATTGGACTTGACTAATTCTTGAAGTTTATCGTTATCTAGGACTCTTGGTTTTCCCGATCTAAAGTCGTTTAAAAGAGATTCATCTCCCGAACGAAATTTGTCGAACCAAAATTGTGCTTTCCGATCGGAAATGACATTTTCTCCAAACATATGTCGTATTTTATGGGCCGCTTCTGTAGCTTTGAGTTCAAATTTAAACTCATAAAACAATACTGAGCGAATTCTCGTTTTACGGTCTACTATTTTAATGTTGCGTTAACGAAATAGCAACTGAATTAATTTTGTCTTGTTTTGTAACCGAAACAAATATATTTTGGAATGGCATTAAGAGCCGTCACAGGATGTTAGTGCTAAACTTTTAATTTTTCTTAAAGAAATTAGTGAATTAGTCTACATGAGACAATTAGATTGTACACCAATCTCAGATCGAGATACCTAAAGTGTACGAAATTTTAAGTACATTGTTCTCATATATCGAGAAACTTAATATAGGAATTATTGGAAAGAAAGGAAGAGAGAAAAAATATCAGGGCGCGAGTGGCTAAGTTGGGAATTGAACCCGGGTCTTCCGCTTGCCGGGCGAATGTTCTGACCACTAAACTACTCAGACCCCATGCTTCTAACATTTATCTCTCCTGGATTAGGAAATCAACAATTCTGTAGAGCATAAACGCGTCATAATGCCCGCGTGATTTTCTATACGTACATTAAGTTTCTCGATATATGAGAACAATGTACTTAAAATTTCGTACACTTTAGGTATCTCGATCTGAGATCGTTGTACAATCTAACTGTCTCATGTAGACTAATTCACTAATTTCTTTAAGAAAAATTAAAAGTTTAGCACTAACATCCTGCGACGGCTCTTAATGCCATTCCATTATATTTCTCGTTTGTTAACATATGGAGCCTTTCCATTATATGTGTTTTAAATATATTTTTAATGTAAAAGATCACGATTCCATCAAAACAAATATGTAGAAATTACAGCGAGGTAAAGACGTTTTGAAAAAAACGACAGAACTTTTTGCGAGGCCTGGTATAATTGTTTGTACCAAAATCGTATGAGAGATCATTTTTTCATTAATAATTATATAAACTTTGATAAAATAATTAGGGAATTATATAACATCCAAGAGTACTGGATGTCTTTTGTAGAGTATGACGTTATAAGTGCTTTATCTTTTTTTTAATTACTTGGTACTTTGAAGTGTTCTAATGGCAACTTTAAATAATCGATAATAGACTGTGGCCTGAGAAAATGTAAAGAACAAAATTGAAATAATCAAAGATATTCTTTTCTTCCTGGAACACAAGTACTCTTTCACCTTTTTTTTTCCTCTTCTCTTTTTCGAGATAACAATTATATAATTTTTTCTATAAAAATATTCTTGTAAAATATGCTATTACTTCCTTTTTTTAACTCATTTATGTCTTTCTTCTTTCCTTTTTGTTTTAATTTCTCTTTCTACCTCTTTTGTCTATATTAATTTGATTTGGTTTTATGGTTAATTTGATTTGCTAGCAATATACCATAATTGTTAGCATCGTTTTTTGAAAAGTCGGGAAATGTCGAAGATGCACGAGATAAACCGACTTATACTCGATATTTATGCACCACGTGCCTATGAAGAGGTCGCTGTCTAACTATATCAGGCAACGGTGGCTCGCATTTGACAGTTGTTTTGGATCAATCGCGGTGGATAGTGTGCGCCTGAGCGAATAACATGTTCAAGACGTGAGTATCATCGACGCGTGGCGATAATAATTTTCTTTGTTCCAATTTATACCAAGTTTGCACAAATGTATTCAATAGAGTATGAAAGAATAGCTTAAATAAAATAGTGCATACGGTTATTATTAACACGATCGTTATTGACGTTTATTGAATTAAAACACGACGTAATGTAAAACATGGTGTATAGTGTAAAAATACTAGTACAAATTGTATAGATCGAATATAAAACGAGAATTAAATTCGAAAGTAACGCAAGTGCCGAATTGCAGTGAATGCAGTGAATTGCTTATTTTTATTTAATAGAACGCATGCCTCACAAATTCACAGATATATAAATAATGCAATAAAATAGCATCCTTAAAGATTTAAAAAGGATTTGTTCGGAAATATGGAAAACTTTTTGTTCATGAAAATTGAAAAATATTAACTTATATGTTATCAAATATTTCAAATTTTATTTAAATAATTTTATATAAAATGCAGATTTTAAGTGTGAAAGTGCGCATCTACGAAAACAATGCGTTGATAGATTATTATTTTCAATTGTTATTCATTATAATGGAAAATAGCTATCTTAGTCATCGTAGACAATTAAAAAAAAAAAAAACAAAAAAAAACGTGTGTAGTATTTGTAGCGTTATAGAATCGAAAGCATCTTACATATCAGAATGTTCAAAATCTCATCCGTTTATTTTAATAATAAAATATATGGATTATACACGAAAGAAACGAGTAAAAAATTTTTGTCTTATAACAAATTCAATATTTGTGCATAGTATTTTTATCACTATCATAACCAATATGTAATCTTATCGATGTTTGAGTTTATTAACTTGGGTTATCTCTGTAATAAAGTGTAACTACGTATTTCAATTATGTATAGAATTTCGATCGGACTATGTTCCTTGCATTTCGATCGGACTTGCTGATTCATGTATGTGCATTTGCATATGCACGCATACTCAACTTGACGTATAAATTGTACTTTATACTCCATACGTGTTTTATACTTTGTACTTACATCGATTACTGTTGTTCATACCATAATTGAGCTTTGGAAAGACTAGTAACCTTGTTTTTCAAAATGTTAAGAACTCTATTTACTGCATTTTTGCGATGAGTAAAGTAAATAATAAGTGATTGAATCGATTGAATTATCCGCGTTATTATGGATACGATGAAAAAGATGCGAAAAAAATATTGTAATGCACTAGACAAAATTAGGATGTCTCGGCATATTATCTTGACAAATCAAGTCAAGTTGAAACTTACTGAATGAAATCGTTTAACCTTTAACGAATGAATTGACTCGCTTGCTTGTCAGCTGGAGGAGCAAAGGACTCTCTCGAGTAACAGTCGAGAAGAATTCTGACCCCCAGTTAGATAGTCACGATCGGATGATTCGCGGAACATGCGAGATAATTTTTTTATTCGTTTCATATAAACACCAAGCATTGAAATCACAACTGCTACTTTGTACGCAGTGTCTATAAATACAGTATTACAAAGAGTAATAAATCTATTTCAAAACAATTTGTTATTTATGCTTAACATGTCATAAAAATTATCCAATGTAAGAACATAAAGATATTTTATTAAGTTGTGTAAAATATATGTTTGCAATGCTATAAACCGATTTATTGTTCTGCGAATAAATGTAAGATGTAAACATTTTGTGATAATCACACCACTTAATTTTTATGCGATAACATCAATGAATCGTTTTTGTTCCAGCACAGACATTATTGTATTTTAACCGTACGAGATCAAATTGCATTACAAATTGGTTTTTAGCATATGTATATGTAAATATCTTTTAATTGCATATTTACTCTTATTACAAAGATACTAGCATTTTTCTTATATTTCGAAACTATTTAATTTAAATAGATTAATCGAAAATTCAAAAATATATGTGAAGAGAGGACTTGTAAGTCCTCTCTTCACATATATTTTTGAATTACAAATTAATTTGAATAATTTGAATACAAATTAAACTATCTTCTACTCTTAATTTTTTTGGATACATTTGCAAATAGTAAAATATTGAAATTTTAAAGATTTTTTCTGAAATAATTCAGTAATTTTCAATATATATATTTTTTTTCATTTTTGATTGCATAAAAGTACGTTAATCAAGAAATACAGACTTTTTTCATAGCGAAGTTGTGAAGATTGATAAAAAAGAGTAAATATGCAATCGAAAGATATTTACATATACATATTCACACAGCACACATATCCAAAAGACATCTAAAAGACATCCCAAATATATCTTTAAGAGATACGATATCTTCGGGATGTCTCCCAAACGTTTCCCGGATATGCATGCTGTGTGGGTATGCTAAGAGCCAATTCATAATGTGATCTGACACAATACTGTGCGTGCCAGAACAAAAACGATTCATCGGCATTATCGCACAAGAATTAAGTAATGTGATTATCACAAAATGTTTATATTTTACATTTATTCGCAGAACAATGAACTGGTTCATAGCATTGCGAACATACATGTATATTTCGTAGAAACGTAGAAATTGTGATACACAAACATAATATTTTATTTATTTGCATAAATATACTATTTATGTGACATTCAACTTTATTTAAATGATATTTGTGTGATATATTTAAACCCATTTTTATCTCTCAACGATAGAAGATACAAAGTACGAAGTACAGTTTATATTTGAATCTGTACAGTCAGTAAAACATGTAATCTATATATAAAGATTAAATCTGTCCATTGATATCATCTTTCATTAATGCTTGAAAATAAATGGAAAATCTGATACAAATCGAACTTTAAACTCATGTGAAAGAAAATTATGATTTCATTGACACAATTAATTGATTCAATTAAAACTATAAAAGGTATTAAAATAGTAGGGGTACCATGAGGGGTTAAATGGACTAAAAAGTCATTTAAATAGTTTATAAACCTATAAATAACTATAATCATAGAGTTAATGATATTGATATGCAAAATCTTATATGTCTAGAAGCTGTAAAAATATAGGGGAATAAACCTATAAAATTATTAATTAAGATAAATATAAATAATCTTATAAAAATAATAATATTAGAAATAAATAATAATAAATAAATTGAGGTAATATTATGATTTCATTGACACACGATCAGTGTCCGTCAATTATAATCATCGGTTATAGAATATGCATGAGTTTTATAATTTTCTATATTTCCATAAATTTATCATAAATTTGTTATTTTAACGACATGTGCGTAGTAATTAGTTATCAGAAATTATTTATTTTGTAAAGACTTTTTGCACAAAATTGAAACTTTTGGAATTCGACAATTTATATGTAACGATGAAATATTACGCATATATACCTATAAAGAAATTTACATAACAATCAGCTCTGATTGTCTATCACGTACGTAATCACATACGTAATCATACGTGATCATATGTGATCAGATACGAAATAGTTATTTGTGGATTATTTGTGTTGTCATGAATAAATTGAAAATAAATTACGTAGAAAAATAGCAACCTTGTAATATTAATTTGTTGACGAGTTTCTGAAAAGATATCAAATTATTTTACGTCATCATCTTATCTTCTAAAACTGCTAAGCATATTTTAACTCTAAAACTGCTAAGCATATTTTAATCAGCCATAGAGAGCCTGTCTTTTAATAGACTTTTAATTGACCATAAAAATGAATTTATAGCATAAGTGCGCAACGATGCACGTGAGTTCTTATGTATATATAGAACTGCAAAAAACGAACATGATTCGTTTGAAGCCAACTTTTTAAAAATAAAACATATTTTCTATAATTATAAATAAAGAATAGGTTAATAAATTTTAGTGTAAATTTTCTAATGTCTATCATGCTCTTTAAATAGACTCAGTGCTTTTTATTTGTTGATAATTAAATCTTACTCTTTTCTTACGTGGAAGAAACAATTATTGCGATAAATTTTTTATTTTAGTTGAAAATAAAAATATAACGAATAGTTACATCGGATTTTAATAACAATTGAAATGTGAGGTTTGAAAAATATGGATTTTGAACAGTTTAGAAATAAATTCTAACTTAATCATAATTTAATTTATTATTTAATTTTGATCTTCAAATATAGTATATTTAATGGATAATTGATATAATTGATAATTTTGTATGGTTTCAGAGTATTATGTGGTATGTGCACGACGAGCGGCATCGTCTTGATATTTCTCTTCGTGATGCTTTGCGCCTTGAGCGAGAGCATGCGATATCGAGCAAAGTTTATTTTCTTTATAATAGGAAGCGCACTATCGGCAGGATTATGGATACCTTTTATGCTATTTCGAATTGGCAGCTGGAAAAACGCTCTGTAAGCTTCCATGTGATCTACAAATAAAATAAAATTTTACACGTGGAGTCTTGCGCATAACGAGATGAAATCTTTCAGAGTACCGGCCAGGTGCGTCGTAAAAATAGCAAAGATCATTGGGATCAATTTCCATTTTCGTGGAAAAGAGAACATTGTCCAAGATTCGGGCTGTGTTGTACTCATTAATCATCAGAGCTCATTGGATCTTTGTGGTAATTAAATTTGTCATATTAAATTCAAAAACTGATCAAATAATGTAAGATCAAGTAGACTTGCATTATGTTATATGTATAATAAAATTGGCCACATAGTTTTAGGTAAATTGTGGTTAGCGATGGATAACTGTAGCGTTGTTTCTAAAAAGGAGATTTTATACTTGGGACCATTTGGCCTCGCGTGCTGGCTTTGGGGAACAGTGTTCATTGACAGAAGAAAGGCCGAAGAATCCTGTCGGATTATCAATGCTACATCGGAATCAATCCGTCTGTCTAAGGTGATTTTGCGTACACAGAAAATATATCCTTGTGTTGTTGATGATACAGCGACTTATAATAACACATGTAAAATATATTAATATGTATTTTGAATTAACATTTTTGTATTATTATTTAAAGTATATTTCCGATTAAATTTTCTAGCGGAGATTGCTTTTATTTCCTGAAGGACATCGACATTCGGGTAATTCGTTGCTTCCATTTAAAAAAGGTGCTTTCCATGTTGCGATTGAGACACAAATGCCGATTCAACCTGTTGTCGTATCAAAATACTACTTCTTGGACGGAAAGCTAAAGAGATTTCAATCAGGTAAAGACATGGAGTAAACATAAAAATATTAAATTATAATGTAATATATATGTTACTGGGCGGATTCTAAGCCCGAAGGATCGGCAATCCTAAAATTGCCTAGACAAAGTTAAAATTATCAAGAGTGTTTTAGGTAATATCCGAAATGAAACTTTATTTCGGACTTTGCCTGAAAACAATTTAGGCAGCCTTAAGATTGCCTAAAGCGGTCCGAATCCCAGACAATCTTAAAAACATCTGAAAGACATTCAAAAGACGTCATTATTTTCTGATGTCTGTTGGATGTCTTTCAGATGTCAGGCAATATTGATATTCTAGTTCGTACATGGCCTAGGCAATCTTAAGTTTACCCAACTGAGCTAGGCAATGTTAATTTCGGTTTTCCGGGATTTAGAAAACATGAAATAGATGTGACAATGAACAAACACGAGAGAGTGAAATAGAGTGTTAAAAATTTAAGAACAAGAATTTGTAAAACAAAAACATGTAGGTGATAGAAGGAGAATTTATCAAACAAAAACTTAAAGACCAAGTTGAAAACAGATGAACAATTTACGCTACTTATTTACGCAAGGGTTAGAGTTATGATCGAGAATTACATTTTAAGTTTTGCCTTTTTACAAGCATTTGTGGTGCATTTTTTTAGACAGTTACACTCAGAAAATCCCTGGCCTCCGAAAGCGGAATTTCGATTGCTTATTGATCTTAACGAATATTCTTTTTCAGGAATTTCTTTCTTTTTTAAAAAATTTTTACGGCATTCTTGAATTTGATTTCTCACAAATAGAGAAGAAATAATCCTCTTTTTTTGTTCCAATTTTGTAGAAACCATTATTGTTCGATTCGAGAACCATCTCTGATATTTTTAACGTTTCCTTTTGATCAGTCAACACTTGGTATTGGCACAATCACAAATTTTCTAACACTGATCTTTGGGAATTTCTTAACAGAAACTGCTGTAATTTTTTCTGCTTGTTTTTCTAAGGCCAAATATGCTGTTAGCTTATTTTTTTTCTTGCGATTTCTTTTGGATAAAAGGCATAAAACTGAGCTCCCATATCCTTCTTCACTATTGAGCTCACTATATATGTTTTGACTGCAAATAATATGAACGTTACGCCTACAAGCAAAGCATTTTTATGGGTTCCAGTCGATTTCTTTTTGCAGACGCAACAAATCGGAATATACATCCGTTTTGCTCTGATATGCCAGACATAAATGCAATTCTTTTCTTGATTAACGTCTTCTCCATTTTCTTTCGGTTCTTCTTGTAAACTGTCTTTGCTTTTATTAGACTCAATAGCCTTTTCTAGATCTTCCGTTTTCAAAACCTTTCTAATAGAATCCGGAAGAGCTTAAATATCAACGTGTACTTTACTACTCATGATAAAAAGAAAGATATTTTCAGCACAACAAAAATAGGTTTATCCGTCCGTCATTTTTAAGTTAATAAATTAATTCTTATCAAACATAGCCTCAAGTGGCATTTGACGAATCTCTGAATGGTAAGTGCTGTTCTTTTGAAGTTGGTAAAATCGAAAATCTTCATTCCAGTGCAAAAATCCAAAGAAATCACATTTTCTGCGTCTTGGTTTGACCGTTCCACGCTACCCTGATTTTGAGAACGTTTGAGCTTACCATGAATTATGGACTGTGATAACTGTGATCACACTTTAGCTCTTCTATAACAATTCTTCTATATACGATTAGCAAATTCATGGCCATTTTCATATTGAAGAACAGAAGGCGGTTCAATATGCATCAAAATTTATGCTACCTCTTCTGTATAGTCTTTGACATACTTCGCAAAATGCCAAATAGCAATTTATATAGCCTCTTGTTGCATTAGCATACTTTTTTCTCAATTCAGATATCATTCTGTCTTTACACATGGACATTGATATTGACTATGAATGGTGTCGAAAAATTCTTCTTTAGTTTTGTATATTTCACGTCTATTGATTCTTCAGAGACAGGCTGAATTAGTTTCTTGCAATCTCCAACGCAAATATCATACCTTTTAAGCCGTCGATACTGTAAATTTGTTTTTATAAGTGGTTTCTTAGCCTCCTTTACTTCCTTTATAATTTTCTGAATTATTAATGGATTTTATAAAAAACTGGTTAGGATCTCTTTTGATATTTTCCAAATTTGTCATAAACTTTGTTTTCATGGATGCAATTTTGTCGTTTTCAATCGTTTTATCTTCATAATGGAGGTCATAGGAGGTATTTTTTAAAAGAATATCGTCACTTATTTTGACCGATAAAAAACACTTGTTCATCTTTGCATTGCCTAGTTCAGTCGGGTAAACTTAGGATTATTACTTAGGTAACCTTGGCTTAGATTAGGTTAAAATTATCTAGGCTATGTATGAACTATAATATCAACATTCAGACATTGCCTAAGGCATTGCGCTTTAGGCAATCTTTACTCTTTGCGATCGTAATACTTTTTAGCATGGGTATCTCGTCGGAATTAATTTCGCTCACACACCGGGACGTAGGCTGAATCAATTATTGCTGTAAAAAGCCTATAAAATTAATTTTACTTACATGAATATTGTATTCTAATAAAAGACAATACTTTTTATCAAATTTTATTATAATATTACGTTTTATATTTTTCTTGAGTATGATATTTTTCAAAACAGTCCCCGATATGAAGTCCTAGTTTTCGGGTACAAGTATCGCAATGATAACCTGATTCAGATATTATCACAAAAACATATAATAATAAGATAACAATAATGGAACAATAATGTTAAAACTTTTCTTACGAAAATCTTTCTGTTGCCCGTTGTGCGTTCAAAAAACTAACTCACGCTACGGATGAAGAGTCCAAGGTTTGTTTAATATTTATTTGTTATATATACAATGCACAAACATGTGTGTGTGCAGTACGATAAGATTAGCCACATTGTGCTGCGTTATCTAAACAAGCCACGCACGCTCGTGCCGGGATTATCCCGAATTTCGATTGCAAAGAGTTAAGGTTGCCTAAATGGTTTTCAGGTAAAGTTCAAAATAAAGTTTCATTTTGAACATTGTCTAAAACGCTCTTAACACTTTCACGATCGGCCCCGTATTTCTACGTTTACATTTTGGTGTAAGTCAGGAGCCGGTCACGTATTTTTACGTTTATACTTCGGTATAAGTCAGGAGCCGGTCGCGTGATTTTACGCTTATTGTTTTTTTATATCATTGTATTAGATCGTGTAATATGAAATGTCGAATCTTAGCGGCTCCAAGCATTGAGCAGAGTCGAATATATAACGGTCGCGAAAGTGTTAACAGTCTTAACTTCGTTCAGGCAGTCTTAGGATTGTCGATCCTTCGGGCTTGACGGTAATATAACATATATATATAATAGTATACAAGAATTAGAATAACCACAACAATGCTTGTGAGCGAATGGAGCACAGTAAGCCGAACTGCAAAGTTCTTTACCGTTTTGCAATATTTGTAATAATTATAGAAAAATTAATTTAAAAAAATTGGCGAATAAGCGTGCGTTTTGCGCGGTTTGATTGTAAGATGTAGAATTAATAGCAGCGAGTGTCGCACGGCAACGAAAAGAAAAAAAAAATCTTCTGCTCGCTGTTCACGTGTTAATTTTGTTTTCGCCGACCGACCAAACTTCGTTGTCGTGCGATGCTCGCCGCTATTACACCTAGAGTCTAGAACGTACCTCCTATGATCTAGTCACGCGAAATGCACACTCATTCGCCAATTCTTCTTAATTAATTGCTACTGTGTTCCATCCGCTCACGTCGTGGTTATTCTGAGACACTCTGTATATGTATACTTAAATAAGTAAACAAAACAAATATTTCGAGTAGCCAAATATTAGCAGACAACAGTAAATTTGATCAATTTAATTTCATATTTCAGGAACTAGTTATATTACAGTTCTACCAGCTATTCCTACCGCTGGTATGACCAAGGACGATCTTCCAAAGCTTATGCAGCAGGCATACGAAGTTATGAATAAAAGTTTTATAAAATCCACGGCGGAATGTATTGACGAGCAAATGCGAAGCTTGAAATGTGAGTAAGATAACGCGCATAATGAAACAATTAGCATTCGAGTCATAGGCTGCGTTCGGGGAGCGCGCTATCAGCGCACAATTCTATCTTTATCGCTCATTAGAGGTAAAACACGGATAAAACGACGCAGTAGCGCTGATAACGCGCTCCCTGAACGCCGTAATCGGAATCCTAATCAATCAGCGAATTTGCGGTTGGTCGATTCTCAAAATGGTACCTGCAGAAATTGTACATATGAATGAGAGCTTTATTCTGTTATCACTTTCCATGAACGTATAGCTCCTACATGTTCCTTCATATATAGTGATATGAAAGTATGTACGTATAGAAAGCTTAATTCAGAGGTTCACTTAGATATTTATATTTCTCAGTAAATTGATTAACGATCGTTATTTTTTCGATATATGTAATTAATATTATATCTGTAAATGTTCTTCCATTACTTATTGTAAGAGTTTAAGATCAGGAGGATTTTGCAAAGCTCAAACTGATGATCTTTCATCGATGCGATTTGTACTTTTTTACACGCAGAAAAATTTTTATAACCGAGTCTCACTTCTGAGTTCTGTGTCATCGTGCAAAACATAAACGTACGTTTTATAATGGATATGGAAAAATCGTAGTACGAGATGTAAAATCATACTGCATGTAAAACATTCCATGTTTTCTATTCCAGTTATCATATTACAAGTTGTGTAATAATAACTTCATCCTCAAATAGTCGTCTATCTAAAATCAATTGTTATTTAATGTACACGATTAATTTGCAAATTACATTCTTGTACAGCTTATGCATATTATTGTGCGAATTATCAAATTATAATCAAATTTGATACTCAAAACTAATGATATAAAAACAACAAATTCTTTCACAAATCGAATAAAATATGCACTATATGTATCTGTGCAATCTTTTCGAAATTATTATTAAAGTAGATTCTCTTAAGTATATTAATAATATATTTGAGGACATGCAGAAATTTATTTTTATTTGGATGATATGAATAAATTGATATGTTGGTAGAAAGAAATTTATTAATGTAGAAATGTATTGCGTATTCTTTGAAACCGCCAAAGTGTTAGTACGAAAGAAATATCGAAGAATATTCGAATGTAAATGTTTCGCTATAAACATGTGATTTATACATCCACATATCCATGTATTTAAAAATGTTATAATTATAATAAATTATATTTAAAAAAATGTATGGTACTTCTGACAGTAATATTATCATTCCTATCATTCCAATAATTGATCTTTAATTCATTTAGATAAATTCCAAAAGTCGAATAAAATCGAATAAAATTAACATTAATTCACCTCAACTTAATTTTATTAATCTCTTCTTTCGTCTATGTTTTTTGTTGTTTTAAATCGTCGTTTCTTCTTGTTCTATTTACGACATATGTTCTGGCTGTTCTTCGCTTAAAGAATTCGTCGATATTTTCCAAGCTGCAATGATTGGAAATATTAACTTGGAGATCTACAGAAAGCGAAGAAGCTGAAGGTTCGTCTACTCCATTTTTGACGGAGGAAAAATTCGCAAAACGTCTATCATTTTTATCTCGCACTGCATCAGCATTGATGAAGGTCAGAAAATTATTTTTCTTTCCGAAACTTAGGCACTCGAGTGTCAAGTCACTGATTTTATTATCTATTTTCTTTTCCGGAGTGTTGCATCTGTATTTGTTGCATGGCAATTTGTACAGTGCATAAGGACATTGGTCCTTGCATGAGCATTTTTTATATTTCTTCGTTTTATTTTTCAAGAATGTTTGTTTCACACAACCTTTTAATAATTCGCCTGTGCATCGATCTGTATAAATTACAGATCGTTTATCGCTCATCATTGGAACTAACGGACTAGTTTGCACATTTCTCGTGATATTTCGATTTAGAAGATGATTACAATTTAACGTCTTTCTGTCATTCTTTTGCAATGAGTATGTAACGATCTCTGTTTGTGCAAAAGCCTCAAAAGAAACATTCTCCTGATTTACGTTCAAGGATACTTTTTTTAGCAAATCAATCTCCATCCTTAGTTTATCCACAACATCCGAAAGAGCTTCCACTTGCTCGAGTATTTGATTAAGTTTACGGCAATCATTATGGCAGATCCCTCCTGACATCATTCAAACTTTTTTTGAATTATATATGTTCTAAAAATAGAGCAAAATGTCAATAAAATAAAATTATACTAGGCTATCTGTCATCCATTTTAGCTTATTTTTCTTACACATCATTGAATTTGCAGCTTATATAGAGATAACGCGAATAAGAAGATCGACTGCGGTATACAATACGATACAATTTACAATAAAAAATGTATTATATAAAATAATGAGATGCCATACATACGTATATAATGCATTTCATGATGAATTATGACGAAAGAGCGTATCTTTCATCTTAAAAAAACAAATTATTTCTTATTAAATAATTATTTATTTGATTCATCGTATGTCCTAGGTACATTCGTCATCAGTCAAGCTTGCATGTCATAGCAGACTGGCTATAATAATGTTTGGTAATACAAAACTCTCTTCCTTAGCACATTTACGCGTAATAATATATTCGTAAAATATGTACAATTTATTGCTGAATTTATAATGCCAATTTGGCATATATAGTTAGTTTTCATGTGATGTCTTTTTGCCGATAATAATTCTCGCGCAATTATCAATATGACGATGCAAAAGTAACTATAAAAAAATATGTAAAAATGATTACGCATGCATCAATAAGAAATAACGATTACTCGAAAAATAAATATGAATTTTCTTCTTTTGTCTTTTATGTATCATCGATGGCTTTCGTTTATACTTCGTTGTTCATCGCGAATGATTTTTAAAGATCGCATCGTTATTATATTCAACGATTGGTATAAAACGACAAGATGTACTTCTTGAGGATAATAATGCATTAATCACAATAATTTATATTTCTGTGTAATCTTGTACAATTGCAAAATCTTGACGTTCTGTGGAATGCTGATACCGTGTTCGATCGAAAACTTCTCGTTTT